GAATCCCAACTTATTTGGCAGACAATCAAACACTTAAAGGAAAATGGAAACAATGGAGTCTAAAGGAAGAATCTACTGGTTGTCGTTTTTTTTTTTGGTTAATAATCAGAAGAGGAATGAAAGTTATGTAAAGATATTTTCCTCTGAAAGAAGTGTGACGCACAGACAGAATCAACATAAATTTTCATTTATTCAGGAAAAACAGTTGCTATTTCAAAAGAAAATAAAGCAGTAAGTGAAACAGATCAATGAGGATTATTAGAGATTATAGCATCCTGAGCTTACCGATGGCCAATAGATCATCTTGTTCCCTTCAGTTTTTGCCTATCAAAAAAATTTACTTCAATTAAATACTTTCTTGAGGAGAGTGTCTATTAAAAAAAAACCCAAAAAGGTTGCAGAAAGTCAATGAAGAAAAAGGGTAGGCAAAAATAACTTGTGGGAAAAAAATCTCATAACTTCAGATTGTTGGTAGGAAAAAGTAAATGATGAAAAATAATATATCCATTTATTTCTTAATGAGTTAAGTCATTTATTAATTATAAATTAGTTATTTAAAATGTTGAGATATATATATGACTTATTGCTAACAATTTAGTTTATTAAATAATTTTTTTAATTTAATGCAATATTCTGTGTACCTCTTTTGGATTTTTTCTACCCACAAAGTGACAAAACCGAAGCCAACTCAGCCCTTACCCTAACAACGGCATACATCATGACGTTTCCTTCAATAACTTTTTTCAGTTTGATTCAGGAAAGTTGTCTGGTTTTATGTTCCTCATGGCAAAACATCAGAGTAGCCATTTGAAAGGCAACAGTTGGGATTTGGGACCATTGAAATATAAGTTTGCAGACTCCAAGTGACAATAATACAAAAATCTACAAGTTAAAAGAAGTATCAAAGAAATATTCTTAGGAAATTTAACAATTAAAAAGAAATAAAATGGAGAGTGGTCAAAGTTTTTAGACAATAAAAGACTTGTTATAGGCAGGTTTTATTTTCATCTGAATTCGAGGGGATCGAACCAAAAATTAATAAGGATTACACAAATTCATATAAGAAAAAAAAAAAAAGTTTATAATTTTCAAATTGAAAATGTTTGTTTCATTCACCCAAACAAAAATGTCATGCGACACACGAAGCCTTTGTAGAAATTTGATTTAAAAATCCTCGACAATAACTATTATCAACTACCCGGCTATTTTCGCTATAAATACAAATATAGTAGAGAATTTTAAAAAATATCACAAAACAACTGGAATAAAAAAAAATGTCTTGAGTTTTTATGGAAGACCAGAATCAGGAAGCACAACAATCCACGTTTAACAACAAAAAAGAAGGGGAAAAGGAAAAAAAAAAAAAAAAAAAAAAAAAATCACGTCTGAAGACAAAGTTGGCACCAAAAGGCGATAAGAAGAAACAGAAGCTAGTTCATTAGATTAAAAAGAAAAAGAAAAATGATATATCTTAGTTTGGTATAGGTTTAATTTTACATTTTTCTTAACTATTTGAGGAACCAGTCATTAAAAGAAAAAAGAAATACCCCGCATCAATAAATCAAGAAATAAAATCTAAAGGAGGCTCGTCCATTGACACAATTAAAAAAAGAAACAACAAACCGTTAGTGTTGTTAAGCGATCTTTTAAATAGAAATAAAAACAGTTCAGTCGTACTCGACCCATTATTATTAGTCGTACTAATACGACTGGTTCACGCTACCACATCAATGGTAGTCGTCAGTCACACTTAGTATATCTTCTTGCCTACTACTAAATTGGTAGATACTAAAAATGCGCAAACCTGGTGAATTAAATGGCAAAGCAACATTTGCGTGGGTTGGATTTTAATAATGGTAATAACAATAATAAAGGTTTTTATTTTTATTTTTTACTACGAGACAAAATGGATGGAGAAGACATAAACAACACATGACAGGTACACGTGAAGAAGCGGGTGGCAAATAAAAAGAAATTCGAAGAGGGTGAGAGACTAGTTTATTAAGGGACAAAAAAGAAGCAATATCAAGGGGGGGTCTTTTTTGTGTTTTGATTGTTAAATCATTACTGCTTTATAACGAATATATAATCCGATTACAAAGTAATTTATCAACATTTTGCGAGGAGGAAGATGTAAGGGTGGCCATTGGATGTTTTAGCAAAGAAAAAGATTAGCTTTTTTGTTTGTTTTTGTTTTTTTAAAGAATTACATCGACACAAAAGCCCACTTTTTTCTACAACTATGAATAAATACAATAACAAAGCAGAAGAGGAACTTGCAGGTGATGTTTGGAAATAATTCTGGAAGTTTTTATTTCAAAATAAAAGACAAAGAGACTAGAAAGAAGAAACATTAAATAAAAAGCCACTGCCACATTTAAAGCGTCGTTTAGGAAAATAGATTAACAGAGAATTATATGTAATAATAGCATTAAAACAACGGAGACAACAATAATAATAATCACATGGACATGGAAGAAGATAAACATATAGTTGTCTATTAAATTGCAGACGAACGAAATAAAAAAAAGTTAAAAAAAAAAAATCATAATAAAATAGGAAAGAAGACGAAGACAGAAACGGCGGCAGCAGGACGACGCCATGATGTCGTCATTTGAAGGAAGAAGATGAGTTTTTAGAAAGAGTTTTCAATTAAAAACAGACGAATTAGTAAATAAACGGGAACGAAAGTACACAACAAGAAAAACCTGAACCATTAAATTTCAATCTTGGAAGAAAAAAAATCATATCATTGTAAATAAAATTGTTAAATAACTTTTCCGCTGTGTTTTTTTTTTTTTAGATCATTTTTTTGTCTTATGAATGAAATGTCGATAACAAAAAAAAGTAAATAAAAACTGCTATTTAGTGTTTATGTCAACACTAAACTGGCTTTTGAAATAGAGTTTTACAAAGTAAAAACGAAACAATCTAGGAAGTAAATAGAAATGATAAACGGATTTTCCTTAAAATGTTTCTAAGTGACATTTAAATTTTAGAATAATAAAACAATGTCATTTTCATTCTTCCTCTTGAAGTCTAAAAATAAAAAATCTTCAGCTTTCTTTATTTTTCTTTCACTTCATACAAAAAAAAAAAGAAAAAAATTGTTTTTGTAAGATTAATACAAACTTAATTTTATAAAATTAAATTTTAGACATTATTTTTAAGCCAATCTGTCGTTTAGGTTTTACTTTCGTAGTTCATCAAACTTTAATCAATAATAAAAATGCATTATTAACAACTAAACAACATGAATGCATTTTTTAAAATTTACTAATTACGAATGTTATAGAGTAAAATAAAAAAATAACTTAATTACAAATAGTTGTAAAACAATATGAATCAGTTTAAAAAAAAAAAAAAAAATTAGACAAGAAAAAGTGGTCAGGACTTGCGGGACCAATTTGAAGGTTCATCTGCCGCCCCCCTCTGCAAAGAGGGAGGCGAAACTTTGAAAAAAGTTTAAACCAACTTAATTTAAATGTCTGATAATTATAAATAAAGCTAAAAGAAAAAGACTGCATGTAAATAAATAATTAACTACAGGATGGTCAGAAAATGTCGGAATCCCGTTCTGTCCATTCATAACTGACAAATACCGCGAATTTTGTTGTTGTTGTTGTCCCCCCCCTACCGACTTGTTTTAACTTTTATTTAAATAGAAATATATAAATATAAATAAATTATGATTTGGGGGTTTGTGTATCAAGTACAAATTATATTTACAAGTGTTGTTTTGGTATGAAAGACATCAAGAAGAGTAGGATCTAAGGGAAGGATGGCATTAGACGAGTGGTCATTATGTCGGGGATCGATTTCTAGTTATATTTCATGGCAAATCCATCCCCCATTTTTTAAAAACAAAAATCGTATCGTACATAAACAAGGAGCGGAAGTATGCGTTTTGTTGTGTCGTTAAAAGAAACGATTTTCGTTTTCATGAGAGATTAAAAAGATTAAGAAAAATTTAATGTAAATAGACGAATTAAAAAAAAAAAAAAACAAATTAAAAAGCTTTTATTTATTATTATATTTATTTTTTTCTTTACACAGACTGGCCATTTAATTTTCACTCAGTCAATTTTTTTTTTTTTAAATAAAAACCGTTTTTTAGTTAAATTCAAGAAACTATGAATTCAATAAAGGCCCTGTAATAAAAAGAAATGACTGTTTTGTTGTGTTTTTTTTATATAAGAGAATTTGACAATATTAAAGTTGATGTCTATTTAAAAATGGCATATGTCGAGATCAAAATATAGTGTGGTTATAAAATCAGGGATCGTTTTGTCAGTCTGAATTCATTGTAAAACGATCCCCCATTCATCACTTTTAACATTAAGTTTTTGAAGTCAGTGGGAATGAAGCATTGATGTTGTTCGTCTTGTAGAAAAGAAAATCAAAGAGCAAAGAAGTTTAAAACTAAATTTGCCTTAATGTATTTTCATTAAGAAAAGAATGGAAGAAGAAGACGGTTGACTGAAATCCAAGAGTTAGAAAATAAAGACGATGACAAACAAAACAACACAGAAGGGAAAAAAAGACAGACAGGGAAAGACATTAAAAATAAAACACAAAGATATGACATTTTTCTTTTCTTTGAAAACAAAACAAGAAACACAGAGGAGACATAGACATTAATAGGGTCGGGATTTTTGTTTAGGGACGGGGTAAAAAAAATAATGTTGGGGCAAGATGGGTATATGTGTGACCCAAGGGTTGAGTGTGATATGAAACGATCGGGGTTTTGTTTGGTTTTCATTTTATCTAGTAATTTTATATGTGTGTGTGTGTATATATATATATATATATATATATATATATATATATATATATATAATATGTGTGATGATTATTAATAATAATATTGTTGGCAGGGTAAAAAGAGAGAAAGTGTGGATAGAGATGAAAGGGGGGGGGAAGAGGAGGAAAAAAAAAAGGATGGACGGTGGGTCGGTCGGTGGGTCGCCCGCCACTGTTACTACATGCCTACTCCTTACCTGGGTATGGTGATACATTTGGTGTTGGCCTCCTGTGTCGTTATGGCTTTTTCCAATTCATCAAGACCTCCACATTTCTTCAGCTTCTTCACCAGACTTTTCACCGCTTTCTCGGACCACTTATCCTCTTTGTCTGAATCTCCCTTCTTCCAACCCAACAGACGTTTCACTATCGGCGGTGTGAACGGCGATAGAGAATTCATTTCTCTCTCTCTCTCTCTCTCACACACACACACACGCACTTTGCTTTCTCCCTACTCGCTCACTATCTTTCCCTATCACTCACCCACTCAGTTTTTCTTGCTTTCTTTCTCTTTCAGATTTCCACGCCCTCCTCACTCATTCAATCGTTTCCTCTCTAACTCCCCACTCACCTTTTAGTTTTATCTATTTCCTGTACTTTTTCTTCCCCCCACTTTTTTTTTGACTCTTAACCTGCAGCCTACTACTCTGTCTCTCTGCCCCGGGCTTTAGAAAATAGAATATTTCTTCTTTAATTATTATTTATATTTTAAATTCACTTTTATAAATAAACTGATTAAATTAAATAAAAAAAAAAAATTCCCAAGAGAATCCTTACTGAAGATAAATTACTTACCCAACTTTTTTTTTTTTTTTAAATTTCACATATAATAAAAATATATTTTAAACCAGAGAAATCTTCCATAACTTAGTTTTTTTCATATTTCAAATCTCTTTTAGTGTTTCTTTGTTTTTTTTTCTTCTCACGACTTCGTCTCTACTGATAAAAACACTTATTTTTTCTTACGTGTACTTTTTTCTTTCGTTTCTTTTTTTTCTCTGCTGAACTCTATTAGATATGATGACTTTAAAAAAGTATTTAAAACCCTTTCTTTTTAAAATATTATTACTTTTTCTTCTTATCAAAATAAATGATCACTCATCACACTCTTACTGAAGAACGACTTACAATAATTAATAATACCTCAACAACGGTCTTTCCTGTCTGGCTTTTTTTTTAATAGACTCTTTCTTTTCTTTTCAAAATCTTTCCTGGTCGTCTCTTCCTTATTCTGACAAAAACGAAATTGTTTTGTCATTAATGTCCACAAATTAATTCTTCTTCTCCATCTCCTTTCGAATATATCTGTATCATTTAGAATTTCACCGTAAATAAAATTCCCATCCGTTTTTCCGATTTCATTCTCATGTTGTCTTTCATTCTTCTTTCTTTTTTCCGTTTTTCTTCTCCTTCACGACAAACAACCACCTTAAAATTTTCGTTGGTGCTCCTTTTTATTTTTTTTTGTTTTGTTTTTAGTGTCGTTGTTGTTGTTGTTGCCTCTTCTCAAAAACACGGTTCTTTCCCTTTTACTCACACATTTTCACAAATATTTTTCTCTCCCTTTTTTTTTTTATCATTTGTCCCCTGCTCTTTACCCAAACTTTAAAAAATATATATTTATTTTATTTCAATTTTCCGGTCCTAATTAAATTTTTACGCTTTCATCTACTTCGACTCCAACTCTTGTTATTTTATTCCAGACATAATTTTTTATTATTATTATTAGTTATATTATTATTATCATTATTATCATCATCATTATTATTTATTATTATTATTGATAATAATAATAATAATGATGATGATAATGAATGTGGATTTCTTTTAATCACAAATTAACTTGGATAAATATTTTTAAACCTTTTCAGTGGTTACTAGCATTATTAAACACAGACAGCAGTTTTAGAAAATACTAATTCTAAATAGTTATAGTAAAAATACCATCTTTCTTGAATGGTTTGTTTCATTTTTTTTTTTTTTTGTCAAACATCGGTTTTCTTTGATTTCCAGATTTGCTTGCATCAGGACAAAAGCATTTATTTCAGTTGACAAAAACAACCACAGTGCGACTCACTATTACGTAATAATTGCTGTCAGTTTACTGTTTTTGAAGTACATTCTTTTCCTTCCTTTCTTCCTTCCTTTCTTCCTTCCTTCCTTCCTTCTGGTTCTTCTTCAATTCAAATAACAAAGACAGAATTACAGTTTTTTTTTTCTCCCATGAAACTTGTTTCAATACTAAAAAAAAAATGTCTGTTTAATGAAAAAAATATTTCTCTCATTTTCTCAAAAAAATAATTGCTTTACCTTTTGGATGCAACAAAAAAAAACTTAGGTTTTTATAAAATAAATACAGTGATTTCAAACATTAATTAGGTTTAAAAAATGTAAATGATTTTGATTTCTGATTTTAAAATATTCCAAAATGTTTAAAAATGAACTTCGAGTTTTCGTCTGTTTCAAAGTTTTAAGCTCTGAGAATAGAAATGCGTAAAAAGTTTGGTCAAGAATCAAAGAAAATATCTAAAAATATGGCACTAAAAGTATTTGAAAAGTACATTTGTAAAAACACCATAATTTTTAAATTTAAGAACAAGCAGGTGCGATATAAAAAATACAGTGAAATTTACTGACATTATTAAAATTAAAAATAAAAACTTTGAAATGAAGAAAAGAACTTTACGAACCACATAAGAAATAAACATTTTTTTAGAAACTTTTTGTCTAATAATTTTGAAATACGAAGGCTGAAAGTAATAGAAAGTGAAAAACACAAACATGTACTTACTTTTTATTTTGAAAATAATCAAGCTTTACAAAAATAGACAGAAGAAGACTGAAAGATTAATCTTTCTTTCTTTATGTAGCTACAGAAACACAGGCGAAGTTTCTCTTCTTCCAGTAGATAATAAATTGATTTTGATATGAATTAAGAAGAATGACAATATAATTAATTAACGATGTCAATCATTTATCGATTATGACGATTGATAATTTACTTCATTAATTTTTATGATTTTAAATTAAAATTTATGCTTTAAATTAAATTTTCAGTCGCGTTTAGTAAATTCAAATAAAATAATTCAATTAAAAAGGCATAATATTTCTTAGATGTTCTTATAAAGAAAATTATTATTTTAAAATTGAGTCAGTTTTTTTTTAATGAAAAATATTTCCAAGTAAAAATAATTTTTGAAATTCCACAAACAAAATGTTATGATGACTATATTCCTTCATCACAATAGAACAAATAAGGCATTAATAATTAAACATGTTTTTGGAATGAAATGAAATTAGAATTAGCAATTAGAAAACTGCATTTAACTTCTTTTAAAAATGCCACACAACAATCTGCAATAAATCAATGACTAATTGAGCAAATATTTGATAAAAAAAGTGAAAAGAGATGACAATGCACTAAAGAAAAAGATGAAAAATATAGATATTTACTAAACTTGACGAAGTTTGTTAACTTTGGATGAATAGGAGACGGAAGAGTGTGCTGCGCCAGTCTTTCATGTGAAGAAGCGTGCCTTTCCTGCTAAAAATGCAAACTGTTCTTATTTTGTCGGTTGTGTGAAATTACAATAAAAAAATTAATTACAATAAGTTGTGTGTGTGTGTGTGTGTGTGTGTGTGTGTGTGTGTGTGTTCACGCGCGCGCACGTACGTATGTATGTGACATTTTCTTTCATATAGGTAATGTTTCATTCTGGTGTCACCTGGAGGCCATTAAGCAAGATACCAGTCTCCTATATCAAACCAAAACTATGTAATGTTCACAGAGATTTTCCAGGCATATCTTTTAATGGAAAATATATGCATTATGTCGCTGGAAATACTTCACTAGAGATTAAATCTCTCTCTCTCTCTCTCTCTCTCTCTCTCTCTCTCACTATCTATCTATCTATCTATCTATCTATCTATCTATCTATTAGGGGGCGCTGAAAAGGCACCGGTCTAAACAAGAAGAGACTCCAAAGTAAATTGTGATGTTTGACCACTTGGACAGTGTTTGAGAATTTGGCTGGGATGAGAAGTTTTCAGCACCCCCTCGTATATATGTACAAGCATTTTTTTTGTATAACCCATAAAGAAAACAACAAATATTGCTATTATGTTGTTTCAAATAAATTTATTCTTTAAAATGGCTTTTCTTTTTGAAAAATTGTAGAAAATATATTGACAAAAAAAAAATCAGATTGTGATGAGACTTCTTGAGATCTTTTAAACGACTTGATCGCAATCATTTACCTGCATAGTTAAATCATTTTGGTTTATGTTTTGTTTTACTTTTAAATCAACCAAAATGACATGACCTCTGAAAACGAAATTTAGACAAAATAGTGCATAAATAAAATAAAAATTAATAAAAAGCATTAAATGTCTGAACAAGGTCTCATCATTTTATTTACTACATTTGAAATGGCTAGAAGCCGTAAGTTCTATGCTAACAATTTCTTCTTCTTTTTCTTTTTTTTGCTTTATGAAACTTTCATCCGGCTTCTTGCTTTCCAGTCAAATTTGATCTTTAAAAATTTTAAATGCAATGCCAATTGTTATCTTCTGTCTTCTTAATTCCTGTTCTTTTCTTGTTCTCTCTCATTAAATAATGTTTTTGTTTTTTGTTTTTTACTTTCTCCTATTCACACCCATTAACCCCCTTGCGTCTTAGTGGCTTTATTGCATTGACTGGGGTGAAATGATTTTAAAAAAATGTTATATAGGTACACACACACACACACGACAATATCCTTTCTGTTTGATTTGATTTTTTACTATTATATTTGACATTTTCCATTAACAGAATTCTAGAATATTCCAAGAATTCTATTCTTTTCCTTTTCAAAAATGTTTTATACCCTTATATCATTTATGATTAATTTGAAATATATCCAGTTTTTGTTTTAAATTTATCAGTTGTTTTTAGGTTATTTTTCAAATAAATGTTAGTGTTTTTCTTTTCTTTTTTTAGTAAAGAATTTAGACATTTCATAAAATTTTTTAGCGTATTAATCATTAGTTTTATAAGTTAATAAATGTGTCTTTAAAATAGAAATTTTGTTTATTAATCTTGAAAGGATACAGTTTTATTGTTTGTTTTACATTTTCTGATAAATTTCGAAAGAATAAGTTAGACAGGAAAAATAATATTTCAGTCAAAACTCAAAATTAAATAAATCGTTACAATAAATAAATGAAATAAAAAAAGACGCTTTTTTTTTTTTCTCATTTTGCTGAAAACGATATTTTGATTGATTTTTTTTATTTTTAAATAATATATCCATTGATTAAATTAAATCGGTCGAAATTCCATTTCATTCCATTATTTTTATGACATTTTCTTAAGGTAAAAATATTTTTTTTGTGTTTCATACTTGTATAATTTCAAGCTTGATCATGATGCAACTGAAGCTCCAAGGAATATATATTCCACAAGAAATATATATCTTTATGAATGTAGACAAAAGGAAAAGAAAACTTAGCTGACGTGTTTCGTCCTAAGCAAGAAACGCGTTGGCTAAGATAAGTTTTTTTCTTTCGTTTTTACTAATTGTCCTTTTACAGATATACTCCTGAAATTTTTACATCTATCTATCTATCTATCTATCTATCTATCTATCTATCTATCTATCTATCTATAGAGAAAGGTCGGCTTAAATTAACTATCACAATCTTAATTGCATAAGATATGCCGATGTCTCTGTGTTGATGGCAGACACTGAAAGAAAACTGTGTGAACTCTTAGACAAGGTAGTAAAGGAAAACTGGAAGAAAGGACTAATCTTAAATTGAGAAAAGACGGAATGGATGGCTGTCATCAAGAGGAACAGTTCAAGATCAAGTACAGAAATTTAAATATTTGGGAAATATTTTAAAAAGGTGATGGGAAATATAACATCAAAATCGGAAAGCACAATGGAAGAGTAAAAGATGCCTTCCAAAAGTTAAACAATGTATTAAGAAAGAGGAAATTTTTCGTTAGAAACAAATAAATGCTATGTCATAAATCCTGGACAATTTCCATACAGATGGCGAAGAGATTTGAGGTAAAAGAGATGTGGAAAATGTGAACATAATGGACAGACCGTGTGAGTAACAAGGAAATTTTAAAGAAAATGAGAAACAAACAAAAAAACATACATTTAGAATCAGAAAGAGTTGAAATTTCTGGTATACGTAATGAAGAAAGAGTGCTTGGAGAATTTGATACTCACATGACATTACTCGCTGTTTCTCCTGGCTCTCTTGACTTCAATATGATATTGAAGTCAAGAGAGCCAGGAGAAACAGCGAGTGACATACTTAATAAATTTATGTAAATGGATGACAAAAGCGGGGTGGGAGGGATTGCAAAAAGACACATTGACAAGCGCTACAAAGGATAGGATATTGTGGAGAGTCATGATTGCGAACGTCCTGAAGTGAGACGGAAGAAGAAGAAGAAGAAGAAGAAGAAGAAGAAGAAGAAGAAGAAGATATCCATTTAAATTACATGAAACTCCATGCTCACAAAATAGGCATACAATGGCGTTAAAAAGATGAATAAATAAGAGAAGATAGCCTCAATGAATGAGTGTTGAGAAGAATGAGAAACATTGACCAAAATGACCAAACAATTAATCCACTTAGATGTCCAGATGAAAAATCCTAGACCAGCTTGAAAAGTGTTTTCACAATTGAAATGAACTGTGCCCAGCTTGGTCAATCGAAATGGTGTCATCTTATTAAATAATAACGGGCGCCTCGAGTCGGTGTAGTGGTTAGGAAGCTTGTCTTGCTAGAACAATTACGACTGAGTAGTGAGTTTGATCCTCAATGGGTGCCCCATACTTTCGGCCTTGTGCTACATCTAAGCTACGCTTGGAAAATCACTATTAAATAATAGCTACCGCCATGTTATAAAACTGATAAAGTTAAATTTAATGGAGGAAGACTTTATTTCTTTCTAGTCACCAACATATCATTTATTTTCGAAATAGAAGAACTCATTTTTTTTGTTAAATAGATAATCACTTTTTATTGCGATTAGTATCAATGTTTGTTTTGAAATTGGCAAAGAAAAGTTTCATCCTCTTATATAGTTTTTAAAAATTTACTAACATGAACGAAAAAAAGATTTATCTAATGATTTTTGTCGTAAAAATTCTGTATTAACTGTGACGTTTCTTTTACTCTTGATTTATTATGTTTTTTTTTGTCTATCATTTAAGGTGTCATTTTTTTTCGTGCAAAGACGACTGTAACGCATCTGCACAAAACGTCTGAAGTGAAACAATTTCAAAATAATTTTACGGATGAAAGTGCAGTAAGAAAGAAAGAGGTCAAACTATCTTTTCTTTCTGTGGACTTGGTGTATAAATAAAGTTTTAAAAAAAGGGGAGTTGATACATACACAGGTTAATCAACAAGACGGTTTACTGCGTTCTGGTTTGAAACACCGGTACCTGTACGATCATAGCAGTGACGGCGAGTGCTCCTATGTACCGACAGGTGGCCTTTTGGCCCGCAGCTCTGTCGGTCATTTATGAGGGCTTTCTTTTAAGCAAATCTGGTGGTCTCCAGCGTCATTTTATTTTCTGGCGGGAACGTTCGCTGTTGTATTTTATTGTGGAGATTTGTTTCGTGGTCCGGATGAGATGCTCGGAACCCATGCGCAGAAAATAACTTTTTATTTTGTGTTTTTCTTTCTTAGCGTTCACATCTAGCTGACATGTATGTGAATCAAAAAGAGATCTAATTGCAGCGGAGTATAACATATATTTTCTGGCTTTAACTGATCCAAACACCAAGGTATTTGAAGTGTTTAGTATTTACTAGATCCTGAATTTTTATTATGAATTCAGGGTAGGTGCCATATCTGCTTTCATTCCAATTCCAGATCATAGTTTCTCTTTTTTATAATGTTTATCTTGAGTCATATTTCTTGCGACACTTAGTAGCGAATCTTGCTTTGTTTTTTTTTGTTCACGATCATATCCCAACCATGAATATTTACGTTATTGGCATAGAAGCCCTTCATTTCCAGTCCATTGACCTCGGGAGGGGAAGAAATAATCCAGTTTTCTATTGATAGATTTGTTTGGGATGTGGTATGGAATGTTTAAGTGATCACTGCCCATCTCTTTACATTTGTGCATATTTATGCACAGGACATAGTCTAGGGAAAGGATTAAATAAACGGGGTACCCTCATTTCCTCTTTGTCGTATTCTTTGAAATGTTTCCATACTGGGGTCCAACCAGATATGTAAGATTTTGTGGACAGATATAGTTATCAGATCTAGACATTCAGTTGTCAGGGCTTGGAAGATGGTATCTAATAAATGAACAGAGGAAGTCTCTAACGGTTCAATCACAGGCTGCTGTGAGGTCGATATAGCAGCTATACTATTTTCTATGGAAGAGGTATGAAAGTTTCTGGTGTTTTTTTTTTTTTTTTTTGATGGTATATATGCTATCATTACATTCATTACAAGAACGAAAAAGAAATTTGATTGCGTGGAGCTAACTTTCACAGAACGGTGATAGTCGAGTTAATACAATGTTCATTTCATAAGTACTTTCATCATAATGGATCCTATTGAGGTAGCTCTTAATGCGTGAGAGAGTTGGGGATTAAACTTTTGGTTTTCATGGCGGATTAATGCACGATATATTCCATTTATTTCCTACATGAAATTGAGAAACTTATTTTTAAATCCTGGGAGACCGTGTGGTATTTTTAAAAGTTCAAGTTCAATGTCACGTGATGTTTTATTTTTCTTTTGTTTTTTTATAGCTTTCTTGACTTACTCATCATTAGGTTCCTTATTGTTTACATTTGGAGACAAACTTTGTAATAAGATGTATACTGGTTTATGTTCTATTTCCGTAGGCATCTTCACCTTAGTGCAGTCAGGGTTGAAATGTGACTCAAAATGATTTTTGAGTTCGGGACATTTCTGGTGTTGGTTTTGATTTTATGGTGTTGTGACGATCTACATCACACACATACATACATACTTACACAAATACAAATCATACAACGACAAGCATTCATTGGATAATAAATCAACACTACTTTATAATAGACAATTTACAAATCGCAGCAATGCGACAATTTTATAATCGCTCTATTTTCATGGAATCGATTTTGTGCACTTTTGGGAGAAACTGATCCCAGAAGCTTTTTTGAGTCTTCCCAAAACTCGCTCGCTGATTGGTCAATGCCAACCAATCAGATTGTCTACAGGTGAAGAACAATTCTTCCCGCGCAGCGATTCGGAGCCAATGATCACCTATATAAGCAAGAAATATTCTTAGATAATTAGTGAGATTTCAGCTGCCAAATGAATCCACGACAGTTGAAACCATGCGCCAATCTTCTCACTCACACCACCACTCACATGCTGAATATTCCTTACACTCACATAATCTTTTCCTTACACAGAAAAATTGTTGAAAACATTTATTACCAGAAACTATCACAAACTTTCTTTCAGTGAACTTTGGAATACAAATAATAGTTAAAGAGAGACAACTCTTGTTTTACTCAATGCATGCTTTTCTTTCACATCCTTGTTTGTACATCTTGTTAAATACATATTTTATGTGTAATGATGTCTTTGGCTTATCCTCTTTTTCTTCATCTCAGTTTGGTTTCCTAATCTAAGTTAAATTAATGTGGTGAAGTCCGCCACAATGTTATCGCAATTTTTAGCTTTTTGCATTTCAACACATTGTCTATATTGTTTGTCTTTATTAATTTGGTCCGCAGTTTTTCTCATATATTGCTTTCTGAGAGCATTAACTATTTAAAAAAAAATTATTTTCTAATTGTTAAGTCGATTTTTTATTTTTACAAGAGAAGTGAGCAATAGAATTCGGTCTAGGTATTATTGAAATGGTCTCACGCGCTTCGGCCAAGAAAAATAAGGTTACATTGTTTGAATCCTCCATGTTATTTTGTTCAAGGGACATCAATTGGGACCTTAATTTATCACAGAATTCTACATTTATCCTTTCCTTTTTAAGGGCTTAGATGTTGTACGTAGGTCTCATCAATTTACAGTTGAAAAGTCTATATACAATCGTAACCTATCGCGCCCTAGTAGCTTTATTGCCTTGCTTTCGGTTAAAGGATTAAAAAAATAGAATATGTCTTTCATTTTTTTCATGTGTGCCGAAGCGAGCTATTTTATTCGTTGGTGTTGTTAGATTTGTTACAAGAAGTCAGGTTCAAATATTGCTTAAGCCAAAAGTGACTTCTGATCATGCCATATGAAGGAACATGTCCATACCTGAGAGGTCATATATTGAACATCTACGTATTACTAAACAGCGCTCTAACATTCATGCAGCCTTCCCAAGGGGTGTTGTTCCTTGTCCTATATGTAAAATTCTGTGTGAGTCTCAAGCTTGTCTTAAAAGTCATTGAAGGCACAGACACATGTCAAGCATGAAAGATGGAACACACTGCTGAACCCTCATACCTCGAAAACGACAGGAAAGACCATTATATATATATATATATATATATATATATATATATATCAGGAAAGACCATTATGATCCGGACTCTGGTGAAATAAATTATTATAATGGTACCTTAAAATTGGTCTGTTTTTCTTTTAAATATATATATATATATATATATATATATATATATA